TTAGACTGAATGACCTTTTTCAAGCGATATACCACATCATTTTAATGATCTGAGTTCTATTGATAATTATTTTTAATCATAAATATTGTGTCCCCAATCCTCATAAGTGTGCTTGATGTCCTGCACTTAACCAAATACGATTGCACTTCTTATTGTCATAGTAATAACGTAACATGTGCTACTATAGTATGATTCTGTACGAGAGGGATTTGCTGTTTAGTTGTGATGTGGTGGCTCTTAAAAGAGCCTTTGTGTTTGTTGAGGTCAGAATTGGGTGTCTACTTCTTGGCAGCCTTCTCGGTCTTCTTGGGCAGGAGAACAGCCTGGATGTTGGGCAGCACTCCTCCCTGAGCGATGGTGACTCCTCCGAGCAGCTTGTTGAGCTCCTCGTCGTTGCGGACAGCCAGCTGCAGGTGACGGGGGATGATACGGGTCTTCTTGTTGTCACGGGCAGCGTTACCGGCCAACTCCAGGATCTCAGCGGTCAGGTACTCGAGCACAGCCGCCAGGTAGACGGGGGCTCCGGCACCAACACGCTGGGCATAGTTTCCTTTACGCAGTAGCCTGTGGACACGACCGACTGGGAACTGGAGCCCGGCACGGGAGGAGCGGGTCTTTGCCTTTGCTCTGGCTTTTCCGCCGGTTTTGCCTCTTCCTGACATGGTGTAGGTTAATCTCTAGATTTGGGACTGAGAGAAATGTGCTCTAGGCGGACATGCCCTCCATTATATGTCCACCGAGCGCGCGCGTTTTCCTGCCCCTCCAACCAGTAAAGAGGCTCCCAGCTGCGCTCCACAGTTTGAACAACCTTTTCTCCAATGAGCAGCGGAGATGTAAGCGGGGGCTCGCTCCCCCCGTCGGGGGCTGAGCTCCAGAAGCAACCGGCCACCAATCAGAGGCCGGAGGTCCGAAGCAGCGTCACCGTTACACATCCGCTCCTCTGCTTTAAGAGCAGCTCGTCCCGTAGCTCCCTACATTTTTCTCCCGCTCAGAGAGACAATACACGATGGCGAGAACCAAGCAGACCGCTCGTAAGTCCACAGGAGGCAAAGCTCCCAGGAAGCAGCTGGCCACCAAGGCTGCCCGCAAGAGCGCCCCGGCCACCGGCGGCGTCAAGAAGCCCCATCGTTACAGGCCCGGTACCGTGGCTCTCAGAGAGATCCGTCGTTACCAGAAATCCACCGAGCTGCTCATCCGCAAGCTGCCCTTCCAGCGTCTGGTCCGTGAGATCGCTCAGGACTTCAAGACCGACCTGCGCTTCCAGAGCTCCGCTGTCATGGCTCTGCAGGAGGCCAGCGAGGCTTACCTGGTCGGTCTCTTCGAGGACACCAACCTCTGCGCCATCCACGCCAAGAGGGTCACCATCATGCCCAAAGACATCCAGCTGGCCAGAAGGATCCGCGGAGAGAGAGCTTAATCTGTCTACTGCTCCAAAACAACCACAACGGCTCTTTTAAGAGCCACCACATTTTATTGAAGAGACCTTCCTCGACTGTTTGTTGAAATTATAATAATGATGACTTTCTTATTTAATTATTAAGTTATTACCATAATAAATATTACATGTATATTAGGTTTAATTTGTTCTCCATTTAACTATATTTGAATTTGAGGAGTTATTCAACTTAATCACCAGAGCTTTTCAGTTAGATTAGAATTAGATTAGATCAGTTAGAAACAGTACAAAGATATTATCTCATAAACGGACAATGTCAATATTTACTCTTCCTCATGTTTCTTGAGTTGCAGATTTCTAGAATCATCGTTCAGCTAAAAGAACTTCACCAGCACACACTATAAACTCAGGAATCACTTCATTATAGACTTTACATAAATAAATTAGGGCTGGCCAACGATTAACAGTTTTAATCGCGTGAGTTCCTGTGATTAATCGCATTGTTATACGCAAAATCGAATAATGAATTCAAAAGTAGTGTATGGCGCACTGTTATTGTAAATGTACTTCTCAACTTATGTAATAAGTAATAATGTAATCAAAGCAAATAAACACAACACTAAAGCTTATTGCATTCGTGGCAGTCTGGACGCAGAGTGGTGTGGGTCTCCTCCCTGACTGCAGCTGGTTCTGCTGCTCGAGGCTACACTGACTTTTGGAAGGGGGAGGGGCTCACGGCAGCACCGACAAAATAATTGTCGGCGATAATTAATTAATGAGTTAACGCGTTAACGTGCCCAGCCCTAAAATAAATATAACAGTGATTCATAAAGATGGTTAAGATGCAACAGGATGCTTCTCATACAGATCCATATCATTTTTAAATACTGATGATAAAATACTAACTTTAGTTATAGCCTGTAGATTAAAGGATACTGTACTTGATATTATAAACAATGATGAATGCAGGTTAAGATCCACCACATTAGTTTAATTATCTTTAAAGACGCACTATGGGAACAAATAATGACCTCTAAAGACACAGTTCTCTGAACCACCACAGACACATCAAAGAGTCTCATATATGAGATATATATATATTGGTCATGTTTAAAAAAATAATTACAATTTGATAAATCGACTTTTACCTTCTCTCCTATATGTACTGTTTGGCCCTCATCCCACACTTAAACCTCATATGTTCAAAGATGAAAATGTATTATAAATCATGATTAATCATATAAATGTTGATATACTTGTATTAAGTGGTACTTAAACAATTAAAAAAACGTGTTAGTATTTAATGTGAGACAATTGTAAATATTCATTTTTACTCAAAATATATCTGTCACACAGTTAAATAAATGTATTTTGTAAGCATTATGTTCCATAACTCCCATCACCATCATTTCCTTCTCATTTCCTACTGGTGGAAATGACATTTATACTGTTATGCTGACAATATGGACTGTACAACAGTAAAACTATGATTACAGATTATTTTAACCTATTTGTATCAACTCACATTTTGCATTTCAACAGAAATATTTCAAATAAATGTGTTTACTGTTTTCATATTAAGATTTTCTACATCAAAGTACATAAACTGTCAACTCCATCACTGCACATATTTTTGGAAAATATTCAAAAAGTTCTAATTACACATTAAAAACTTCACAATTTGTTAGCTCACACTCTGCTGAATGCAACGTTACTGTATGATCTATTTATTTCAAAACAGTATTTACATAATCCAACATTAGATTTCATATTGAGGTTAATGTGTGTTAAGCCATTTGACCCTTGTGACATTTAATTAATCTAATCAACAAACGTATAAACATTTTAAAATGGTATAAAATTGCAAAACTAGTTATGAAACATTCATATATTTATTTGGGGGTGTCATGTGTCATTTAGACAAAATGCTGTTTGTTTAGATGTGGTGGAAATGACATTAGTTCATTAGGGTCAGATTATTTGTCAAAAATGACCAAATTCTGTTGCGGTGGTAGTTCATCCAATCTCAAAACTAGGCAAATTAGATAATCTCATGGGACTTTGAGTGCACCAAGTTGAAGAAACACCCAAACACTGTAAACCTGATTAAAGATTTATTTGAACAGTGGAAGTGTTTATTCTTTTTATTTCGTTTATCGATGGTACTTTTTCAAGAGATAAAATAAAAGCCTGTTCTGCGGCTCCTCAGAGTGATCAATGGTGGACGTTACTTTCCTAAACTCATTTTGCCCTCCAGGCCTCAGCTCCGGTCACGTGACTGAAAGCCTCGAGGCGCACAAATCGCAACAAATCCTGTGTGAGCAACAGCACATCCACATTTGCTTCAAGACCAGATTTAAACACATTTCTAGCAGATATTGGATCATCCGTTTCTGACGCCATCGCTCAGTAAACATGCCTGAAACCGTGAAAGCGCCCAAGAAGGGCTCAAAGAAAGCCGTCTCTAAGGCCACCAAGACCGGAAAGAAGAGGAGAAGTCCAGGAAGGAGAGCTATGCCATCTACGTCTACAAGGTCCTGAAGCAGGTCCACCCTGACACCGGTATCTCCTCCAAGGCTATGGGCATCATGAACTCGTTCGTGAGCGACATCTTTGAGCGCATCGCCGGGGAGTCCTCCCGTCTGGCTCAATACAACAAGCGCTCCACCATCACCTCCAGGGAGATCCAGACCGCTGTCCGCCTGCTGCTGCCCGGTGAGCTGGCTAAACACGCCGTGTCTGAGGGCACCAAGGCTGTGACCAAGTACACCAGCTCCAAGTAAACCCGCTGATAACCAGCAACAAAACGGTCCTTTTAAGGGCCACCCAACTTTTCACCTACGAGCTGTATTCCTCACTGTTATTATAACTAACAACCGATCATTGATGGGCACATTGATTTATTATCAGGCTGTTATATGGAAAGTCATATGACTGTATTACTGGATAATCATATTATACAATGATTTCTTGATCTCAGAGCAGGAAGTCAAATTTAAGAAACATGTGGGAAGTCATCAACATAAAAAAAGCATCAGGAAGTTTAGCAGCCTTGATTATGTTTACCCTAATATCTAGATCCAAATAAAACTTGATAAATAATGTCATCTACTCAAGTTAAATGTGTTTGCTTTCTGATTCCACCCACCACCATCCTCTTTCTGGACCAAAAAGAGGTCTGACATTACAACTACGTCTCATCGCTTATCTAATTCAGATGATTAACAAGATCACATTTAATTTATAAAAACTGATTTTAGCGATAGCAAAGTATCCATTCATAACTGTCCTCTTGAGAACATTTACAAAAAGTAACGTACTGAATTTCCCTCAGACTAATTATCCAGTCTAGCTTCCTGATCCACAGAATACAAAGAACCACACAATCAACTTACAATGTGGCTTTGCACATTCTAGCATCAACAGGCCTTATAGACTGTTTAAAATGGTACGTTTAATTAACACACCTTACTTTCCTTGCATTAGTGTCATTCTGTGTTCTATTTATTTAGAGTGATGCAAGATTTGACAATCAGAAGGCTACTTATAAAAGGGACAAGATGTTCAAAATCAAGTTAGGAAGAGTCATCTCTTTGGTGGAAGTGTGTGGCTCTTAAAAGAGCCTTTGGGTTTCGGTATGAGTGGGTCAGGATCAGGTTTAACCTCCGAAGCCGTACAGAGTGCGTCCCTGTCTCTTCAGAGCGTAAACCACATCCATGGCGGTGACGGTCTTCCTCTTGGCATGCTCGGTGTAGGTGACGGCATCACGGATAACATTCTCCAGGAAGACCTTCAACACACCACGAGTCTCCTCGTAGATGAGACCAGAGATACGTTTGACTCCACCACGACGAGCCAGACGGCGGATAGCGGGCTTGGTGATTCCCTGGATGTTATCACGGAGGACTTTACGGTGACGCTTAGCGCCTCCTTTACCGAGTCCTTTACCTCCCTTTCCTCTTCCAGACATCTTTGAAGTTCAGTTGTTGAGAGCTGAATGATCCTGCGGTAGAATTCACAGTCTCTATATATGGTCTCTGAGAACCTTATAGAAGACAAAGTCTACTCTTCTTCGCCTTTGGTCATAGCTCTCAAACATAAAATCTCATGAAGCATTAGCGCCCCCCTCTGACCAGCAGCATGAATCACGGACTGCTAGACTGACTGAGCTCCACATGGACCAGGAGGTGAAGAAAACATCTAACATCTTGGAGTGAAATCTTTCACACCGAGATGAAGGAAGATTATTACAGTTTTTATTCTGTTTCTAAACAAATGACACAACATGCTGCAGCAGAGATCATTTCAGCACCTCGGAGAGCGAAGGTCATCAAAAACATCCAGGAGAGGAAGACAGGTAGTTCTAACAGCACACCTTTAAAAAATCATGACTGAATGTTGAAACAAAAAGAAAGTCTATAACAACCCAACACAAAAATATATTTCATATAATTAATTTATTTCAATAACACAAATTAAGTAAGTAAACACACTGAGAGAACAGAACAAATCAATAAAACTGAAAATAAATCAAACCTTTTCTTTTATGAGAGTCCCTTTAACAACAAACACCTTTAAATCCCAGAAGTGAAGCTTTGAAATTACTTCAGTTTTAGTTTTATTCTTTTCAAGGTAACTTAACATCATCTAAAATCATTATCACATTTATGTTTCTCATCTCTCTCTGGTTTTGTCTGCAGTAATTTTTTTCCTCGTAAGTTCTTACCCACTTTTGAGATTTGGCTGTTTCCTCTCTCTTTTTTTATTTCTACTTATAAATTCAATTATCTGCACATTACCTGGCTCTGTTCCTGTCTTAACCTGTTCATAAGGAAGCTCCTCACTTCAAACTCTGTTTCTTTTTAGAAGAGTCTTTTATAATATTTAGCAAATTCTTCATCTACTTTGTCTCATTCTGTCACAAGTTTAGCTCACTTCTTGTTTTCAAGTCAGTAATTTATCCTGCCTTGCTTCTTTACTCTACATGCTAGAAGTCATAATTCATGTTTTGCATAATTTCATTAATATCTCCACTTCCTCTGTTTGTATCATTTTCTCATATTTGTGTTTCTTTCTTTTTTATTTCATTTTGAAATTTAAATTGTTTTATTCCAAACATTGTACATGTTGCTGTAATGTCTTCTGTTTGATTGTTTTAATCTTTATTTAAATGTTGTGTTGTAATATGAGAAACACTGCTTTAGCTCATTCCCAATAAAGTAATCAGATTTATATCCCCAGTTTTGTTTGATAATATATATATTTTTCCTTCAAATATTATATCAAAGAGTAATTATTTAACCTCTGGATTGTATGTGAAGATTTAAATATAATGTCACGATGACATGATGTCATGAGTCCCCTTTGCCTATTTAAATATGTATAAATGTGACATGAACACAATAAGGGAGGATGTCATATGTAACATAAAATAAGAAATCAAGGAATGAAAACTGTCAATAAGGCAGTGATTGTACCTTCCTGCGTTCATAGTGTGTGGTGGTGATTTACTGATTTTATTTTAGCTGAACGGTGATTGTAGAAAAATACACACGACTCAGATGAGAAAGATTTTAAGTGATAATGATAGATGAAAAAAAAATGTATAGGCCATATGAGAAAACTGTAGACAAAAACCTCAGGTGATCTGTAATCTCTCTGTATTCGTCATGACACTCTGGGAGACATTTGGAACAGTTGGACATGGTTCTCTTCTGAAGGGTCACTCACAGTGACTTTAAAAAGAGACAAACTCTCCTACAGTCTCAATACATCAAAGAACATTTAAAACAACTAACACTACAGAAAACAACCACACCCACAGACAATCAACAGCAGAACGTCTACCCAAAGGCACTCCACACCTCCACACAATAGAATCAAACATGGAGAGCAGAGCATAGAGAATCACACTGTTCTTAATAGAGATGATAATTACCAGTTGGTCAGTCACAGAGAGGTGATTCAAGAAATCCTGAGATGAAAATCCAGCTTCACTCTTCTCTAATCCAAAGTACTTCACAAGTTTATCAAAATTCCCTTACAGTGTAAAGTTCAACAGGAAAAGTTAAAGTGAGGCCCAGATGATGGATGAGTTTACCTGAAGACCTGAGGTCAACACACAACGTTTATATCCTGATAATTATCATTATCGTTTCATCTCCACGGCTTCATGTCGACATTTATAAAAGCAAACTGAAGACCTTTTAACGGAATATATATTATATATAGTATCTAACTTTAAACATATATATCTGAGTCTATTTTGTTGATTTAAAGATCATCTTGTTCTCTTTGATGTGTCTGTGGTGGTTCAGAGAACTGTGTCTTTAGAGGTCATTATTTGTTCCCATAGTGCTTCTTTAAAGATAATTAAACTAATGTGGTGGATCTTAACCTGCATTCATCATTGTTTATAATATCAGGCACAGTATCCTTTAATCTACAGGCTATAACTAAAGTTAGTATTTTATCATCAGTAAAATGATATGAATCTGTATGAGGAGCATCCTGTAGCATCTTAACCATCTTTATGAATCACTGTTATATTTATTCAAAGTGGTCGTCAGTGAACCCGTTTGTGATCCAAACTTCAGAAACGGGTAGAAGTACTGTTATCAACTTCAGTGTTTTATGGGATTCAATTATTTAATGTAAAAATTATAAAGTCTATAATGAAGACTCTTTAACAGCATCACCACTCATATCAATAATGCTAGACACTGTGTGTGTTTTTAATAATAATAACTCTAAGTGTATATACCTGGTATTATTCTATTATTGTATTTTTCTCTCATTATTTAACTGATATACATATGTTTTATTTTCAAATTGTTATTTTTAATAATTAGATTCCTGTTTCCTGTTTTGTTGTAATGAAGAAATGTCCCCCATGGGGGATCAATACAGTTTATCTTTATGAAGTGATTCCTGAGTTCATAGTGTGTGCTGGTGATTTACTGAAGTTCATTGAGCTGAACGATGATTCTAGAAATCTGCACCTCTCAAGAAACACGAGAGATTAAATATTGACAATGTCTCTTTATGAGATAATACATATTAAATATACATGTGTACTGATTATCTAACTGACAAAACTCCGGTGATTAATTTGAATAACTCCTCAAATTCAAATATAGTCAAGTGGAGAATAAATTAAATGTAGCATACATGTAGTGTGTATTATATTAATAACTTTGTAGTATGTCTGTGCTCTATTGTTTTTATTTATGACTACACTGTAATATTATTGTGGTTGCAGAACTGTATGCACCTATTAGTTCACAACATGAGACTGGAATTAGATAAAATCATCATCACTATAAAATTGACAAACAGTACAGGAACATCTTTCTAGTAAAATGTGGTGGCTCTTAAAAGAGCCGTTGTGGTTGTTTTGGAGCAGTAGACAGATTAAGCTCTCTCTCCGCGGATCCTTCTGGCCAGCTGGATGTCTTTGGGCATGATGGTGACCCTCTTGGCGTGGATGGCGCAGAGGTTGGTGTCCTCGAAGAGACCGACCAGGTAAGCCTCGCTGGCCTCCTGCAGAGCCATGACAGCGGAGCTCTGGAAGCGCAGGTCGGTCTTGAAGTCCTGAGCGATCTCACGGACCAGACGCTGGAAGGGCAGCTTGCGGATGAGCAGCTCGGTGGATTTCTGGTAACGACGGATCTCTCTGAGAGCCACGGTACCGGGCCTGTAACGATGGGGCTTCTTGACGCCGCCGGTGGCCGGGGCGCTCTTACGGGCAGCCTTGGTGGCCAGCTGCTTCCTGGGGGCTTTGCCTCCTGTGGACTTACGAGCGGTCTGCTTAGTTCTTGCCATTCTTGCTGTTTTTTCTGAACAGGAGAAAATGTGCTGCAGTCAGGGGACGAGCTGCCTTTAAAAGAGTGAGCGGATGTGAAACAGTGACGCTGCTTCAGACCTCTAGCCTCTGATTGGTGACAAAGCCTCGTCTGGCGCTCAGTCCCGCAGGGGGGGATCGAGTCCCCGCCTCAATCCCCGCTGCTCATTGGAGAAACATTTTTCAAATCGCGGAGTGAAACTGCGAGTGTGGCCGCCCTCCTCTGCTAAACTCGAAGCCTCTTTTCTGGTTGGAGGGGCAAGAAAATGAGCGCGCTACGCGGACATATAAGGGGGACATCTCGGCACAGAATTTATTTCTCCTAGTACCGACTCTAGAGATTAACCTGCACCATGTCAGGAAGAGGCAAAACCGGCGGAAAAGCCAGAGCAAAGGCAAAGACCCGCTCCTCCCGTGCTGGGCTCCAGTTCCCAGTCGGTCGTGTTCACAGGCTGCTGCGTAAAGGAAACTATGCCCAGCGTGTTGGTGCCGGAGCCCCCGTCTACCTGGCGGCTGTGCTCGAGTACCTGACCGCTGAGATCCTGGAGTTGGCCGGGAACGCTGCCCGTGACAACAAGAAGACCCGTATCATCCCCCGTCACCTGCAGCTGGCTGTCCGCAACGACGAGGAGCTCAACAAGCTGCTCGGAGGAGTCACCATCGCTCAGGGAGGAGTGCTGCCCAACATCCAGGCTGTTCTCCTGCCCAAGAAGACCGAGAAGGCTGCCAAGAAGTAGACACCAATCCTGACCTCAACAAACACAAAGGCTCTTTTAAGAGCCACCACATCACAACTAAACAGCAAATTCTTATTATAATAACTGAAGTAAGTTATAAACTGTCCATAAGCACATGCGAGTCAACAAACACAATCTACAATATTAATACATGATCTACAACCACATCTATTAATAATTCAGACAGTTAAATACTTTATACCATCATTAACATGAACAAACATACTGTGGATTAGACACCATGGTTACATCCAGTATCGTGTTACTCTCAACTGTTGTGTTTAGGCTAATTTCTCACAGTATTTATTCTTCAATTAGGCCTTCATCTTACACATTAAGGATGCATGTCTTAAATGTGAATATCAAGTCCTGATTTGTTCAGTGGCAGACTCCTTAATAGAAGTTGTGGTGGCTCTTAATAGAGACCCTGACAGTTATGAACCATGTCATAATTTAACTGTACCATTATATTCTCTAGTTCTACATTTCATTTGTTGTCTCTAAAAATCATCACATCCTGTTCTGGAAATAAAATGAATAAGTTTTTCTCATCATTATCAAGTCGCTGTGGTTCAGTCTACCTTTGGGTCAGTGAAATACAAAAAAGTAGCCTTTAATAAAGTGGTCAGATTTATTTGTTATTGTGAGAAAAATGGAGACATGAGGCCATAAGTTGTGAAATTAAATGCTCAGTATTTGTTGAAAGTCGTTATCACTACACATTTTTTGGATGCATACATTTCTTAAACTCTAATATCAGGTTTGCCTATTCATGAAATAGTTGTGAAATATGTCAACCCTTTAGAATCTGATTTGTTTGGAAAGGATTAAGGTCTTACTCATTCTGTGTCCTTAATTATTATTGTTCTAAATTCTGGTTTCCTTTCTGGTTGAAACAGCTTAGCCTAAAATAAGGATTATATTCTGACTTACTACAGTCCTGCTGATTTATTTGATTTAGTCCTCAAATTATATAATTTGATATAATAAAGTGGAGAAGAATGAACATGGGTGGTAAGATTTTAAATGAGAATTATAGAAAAAATAAAATATCAGATAACTTGACAAATACTAAAGATGATGTTGAAGTGGAAAGCTGCATTCTTCATGACAGAGAAAAAGTAGGAGAGCTACACTGATGAGGTTTAATGTATATATGCTCTCTATGTGCATTATATATTTCATATAGGAATTACATTTTAATGTAACTGGTTGCATCACTATGTAACAGTTGGTCAGTTAGATCACAACAATAAACTCATCTATTTATTTATGTGTTTTAACAGCTTACTTGGAAGTAAATCTGTCTGTGTTTTTAATTACTACTTTTCTTTGCTTGTCTAAATTCTGGTTTCCTTTCCGGTTGTAAAGATGTAGCCTAGCCTAGCCTGTTGATCACTATAGCCCCCTTCTCAGGGGGCAGCTCCACCTTCACGGAAGAGTTCAAATCAGATGGCATGTAAACATGCATGCTCAGGGCCATATGACACACCATTGTAATCCTTAAAACCTCAGCTAACTAGCAAGCAAGAACAATTCCACCAAAACAAAACACAACTCAAACCCCAAGCAACAGCCTGAAGAAATGTCAAAAAGCATTTTTCGTCTAAACACAGTTATTGTCTAAAACACAGCAACCTAACTATCTTATATTACATGCCAGATGCACAAATGACCATTTGAATGAGAGCTGAGACTCCACAGATTCTAACAGTATCTTGTTTTCACTCAGAAACCAAATCTCACTGAGTAAACAGCAAAAAAACCAGAAAAAGCAAAATTCACTTTTTCCGTTTACAACCAAAATTTCTGTCTTAAATTTGTTGTTTTTGCAATCAAACGTTTTCCTGGTCCAATAAATCCACATGTAAATCTCAAATTTGAGACTATTCAAGCCTCGCTACCTCTATTTTTCACAGCACAAGGGAGGAATGCTGCACATGTAGCTACATGCGCTCTCTTGGTAAAGGCGGTCTTTGTCTCCATTTAGTGGTACAGTGGACAGTACATGAAGGCAAAACCAACAAAATGGGGATATAAATAAATAATTATTAATAATAAATTGTTTGTTTCTGGCTGACTCTTCCACTGCCTACACATGGAATTTTTTTGTGTACGAGGGCAAGACTGTACAGGTTCCAGGTCAAGGTTTGAGCTTCACCTCTGTAATGGACCTTATGAAGTTCCCTCTCCTTGGTCAGTGTTACACTCTTTTTGTGGACAATTTTTATTCAAGCCCTGCATTGTTTGAAGAACTGGGAAAGCACAACACAGGCGCTTGTGGTACAATCAGGAAAAACCGCATTGGCTTTGCTAAAACGAACAATCATGATCTCCCTAACAATGCACAGCGGGGAGATATCCGTTGGATCAGAAATGACAAATTGCTGTTTGTAAAATGGATGGACACAGTTCCTGATGTTGTCCAGTCATACAATCAGAGCATGGGTGGGGTGGATTTATCAGACGCTCTGATTGGATATTACAGTGTACACCATAAGACAATGAAGTGGTACAAAACGTTTTTTTAACACTTTATGGACATTGCTGTTGTAAACAGTTTCATAATCCACAAAGAACTCTGTAAAAAACAGACGGACCCCTCAAAAAGGAAACCTCTGAGACAGAAGCGCTTCAGAGAAGTACTTGCCACAGAGATGCTTCAGTTTGCGAAGGCCCAAGCACAACCCGCCCCGCCACCAGCCTCTTGCATCCCAGATTATTATAGGGACGATGGCACAACATCTAGGAGGTATTGTAAGAGACGCCAGGAGGCGGGTATCAAAAGGGTAAAAACTCCCATTTACTGTATTTGGTGCCAGGTCCCTCTCTGCCTTACACGTCAAGTAAACTGGCTTTTTGTCTCAAAATTGCATTTGTTTGTTGTTTCTTGTGCAATTTGATGTATATAGTTTGTTGATTTTTATACACTTTTTCACCTATTTTGAACTTTATCTACTAATGTTTGCAGCAATTGTAATTTTTATATTTACCTTTCAAGTTTATTTTCAAAATGTAAATGCCTATATTTGATCTTTTCAAGTTTTGTATATGTAAAATATTCCATTGTTAGCTTGTATTTTATCTTGGTACATTTGTTACATTTTATATAAATCTTATCCATTTTGATTCAAACTCCATTGTATTTGTATGTTTTTTCTTCTTCAATTCAAACATATATAGAGGACTGGTGTGGTTTCAAAAAAGGTGTATTTTACATTGAATACATATCTATAATGCCATCTAAGTAAATTAATATTAGTTTTACAGCTTGATACCTGAAACATTTCAAATGGCACAGATGGTGCCAAACTGTGCCAAAATGGCACAACATAAATTCCGCCTGAACATGCTTGTATTAAAACCTCTGTAATTCTGCTTTACTTCACTTTATTTAGCTCAAACTTTGCATTGGTAATGTTAGGATGTTTATTTATTGATTTCAATAGAGCTACAGAGGCTGCTGCAGCATTTCACAGGTAATATTTACTCAAAATAAAATACAAATTTAGGCAGACTTAAAAATCTTGCATTTATGCTTTGTTCCATCTGTGTTTACTCTGTCACAGTAACAGATATACAGATTCTTACACTTTCTAGGTAAACCTCTAGAGAGTTATCTTTAATATGATACCAAGTTTAATCTTATAGACTTTGTGGCTGAGATATACTCTGTTAAGTTTGGGTATGCCATTTTCAAGAATAAACCAAGAAATAGGGCCTAGTGATCAAATGCTAGATGATTATAAAAATAGATTACATAAATCTAAATAGTATCATGGAGGACAGACTCTTTAGTGGAAGCTGTGGGGGCTCTTAAAAGAGCCTTTGATGCATTGAATGCTGGTGTGAAGATTTACTTCTTGGCCTTCTTGGCTGCAGTCTTCTTTGCTGCTGTTTTCTTTGTTGGAGTTTTCTTCACTGGAGTCTTCTTGACCACTTTCTTGGGAGCAGGCTTCTTGGGACTCTTTGCAGCAGGCTTTTTGGTTGCCTTCTTCACCGGGGTTTTCTTAGCTGCTACCTTCTTCGGTGACTTCTTGACTGGAGTCTTCTTGGGTGTAGCTTTCTTTGCTGCGGGCTTCTTTGCCTTGGCTGGAGCTTTCTTTGCGACCTTCTTCGCTGCTGGTTTGGCGGCTTTGGGCTCTTTTTTTGCAAGCTTGAAAGATCCGGAGGCACCACTGCCTTTAGTCTGGGCCAAAGTTCCGTTTGTTACCAGCTTAACCACGGCGGCGTTGATGCGTTTGTTAGCCTTGACCACATCCACACCTTTAGCGGCCAGTGCCTTCTTGACGGCCGATAAGGACACACCTTTGCGCTCTTTGGACTCAGCCACAGCGCTGATGATGAGCGTCGGGAGGGGGGGTCCATCAGACTTCGGTTTGGGAGCCGCTTTCTTCTTCGGGGTTTTCACCACCGGGGCTGCTACTGCTGGTGCTTCTTCTGCCATGTTGATCTCTCACTGGACGTGTGGAGAAGACCGACAGGAGGCGGGACTTATAGGGAACATGAGAACCGTGAAGAGTCAACCCACACAGACGCTCTTCCTCCTGTCTGAAATGTGGCGACACTTTGTGTTTTATCTTCAACTTTATGGGGATAAAACTCACACAGAGAATCTGTTTAAACGGAAAAAACGTCCCGCATCAGTTAGAAAACCTTCATCTCTTCAGATTCAGCTCATGTTTGTGGACGAGGTCTCTTTAATTTCATTACAGCAGGCTTCAAACCTCTATGATACCCGCTCTGGTTGGACAACACGCGGGGATTTTCCGACACATTTCGGCTCCTAAAGTGTCTTAATGAGACCTGTGAAAGTTTTAAAAGGATGATAGTGTAAGCAGAGACATCAGTTATTTAAATAAAACAAACATTAACCTTATACTTTGATTTGTTTAGTTTTAATCGGAGAGTTTTCAGTGGAGGTAAACACACGGAGGCTGTCGGAGACTCAGGAGGTCACACAGACTCACAGATGATGTTGTGGGTTTGATCTCCAGGTCAGACCAAATGATAGAATTCATCAAGAGGACACAAAGTTAGAGGTTTATAATAATACGATGTAATAATCTAACAACATAATGAATCATTCCTGTGCTGATAGAGACTGAATACATCACATCAGTTTGAGTTTGTATGGAGAGCAGTTTTCTGTCTATAGGTTTAACAATCATCACTGTCAACTGAGTAATAACATCACATTAATTAACATTAATTAACATTAAATGAATCTCTAATTCTCCTCAGCTGATCTCCTCGTTGATCATGTTGGACTCAGAGTTATTCCTCCTCCTCCTCTGTGATATATTTGAGGTAAAAAGATCAATACGGATTTTACAGATAGACTGTGAGTCATGATTATCTTTCAAAGTTCATTAATATGAAACTCATTAAACTTTTTTAATGTGAAATATGAAACAATTATAAACAGATATTTTTTTAATTAATTGTCAGGTTTTATTTTGAAACTAAAAAAAAAAACTGCTCTGCTGAAAGACATTTGTTGTTGACAAACAATGTTTTTATGCTGAGGTGTTGATGGTTGGTTTCATATTCACTATTTAAATATATATAAAAATGTTTATTAGCCTTTGTGTTATGTTCACTTTTTTGACTCTTTGGTACCGATTGGGTTAAATTGACTCGGGACATTATTGGGGTTATAAAAGCCCGACCGAAGTAAAATACTAATACCAAAAATGAATTTACATCTATTGTCTTTGTCTTAATTTAAAACAACATAGATAACATTTCTGGCACTGTTTGCAATTTCAGATCACATTCAACAATGAATTTGTCATTAGTTTTTGAATAATAACGTGATATTATGTCCTAATTTTGTAAAGAATGACGACATGAAGTCATGAACATGAGTCACACCCTTTCATGTAACTAGGATACCTGTACCATCCTCAGCAGTTAGCAGCTGATCCGTGGGGTTCAGTCATTGGCGATGAAAACCATTAAATCTGTTTATTCTCAGACAGGCGGTATGTTTGTGTACATACCTAGTATTATTCTATTTTTGTATTTTTTTCCCATTATTCAACTGATGTAAATATGTGTGTATTCAAACTTTTTGCTATTTTTGCTAATTATATATATATTTTTTTTCCCCCAATGGTGGATCAATGAAGTCTATCTTTATCTTTATGTGTGTTGTAGGGCTCAACCTGCAGTGTGTTGTGCTGGTTAATTAATCTCATCTTTAAATGTATCACAGTTACAATTTGTTTCTAAATGATCCTCATATTCTGAGACATCCTCCTCTTTCCCTTCACTACCAGTGCACCATTTTCTGATATTGCTGATGAAATTACTCCCCTGGTCTAAGTGGTGCATGCAATATGGTTAAAGGACAATAAACTGGAACCTTGGGATTGTGGACAGCTGACAGTCACAAGCTTTAGTTGAGTTTGAGGCAGAGCAGGCTGAACAAGCTGGTGAGGAAGGCACGCTGTGGAGTTTGACTTGATCTGGACACTTTGGAGACAGTGGCTGAGAGGAAGATGAGGGACAAAATCATATCCATCCTGGATAACTCCTCTCACCTTCTCCATGACGAGCTGCTCTTTCAGCCAACGCCTCGTCTCCTCCAGGTGCAAAACAGAACGCTTCAGGTACTCCTCTGTGCCCACTGCCATAAGACTGTACAACAGCAGTCTATGAAAACAATACCAGTCCAACCCCATAAACACTACCACATGACAGTCTTCATTATAATCATACCATCATTATCTTTGTACTCTATAACTGCACTCTGCCTTACAGAGATACAACACTGCTTCTCTTCACTGCCGTTTACATTACTTGCTGCTATCGATCATCCAGAACAGAAGTTTCGCAGTTTCAATGGCTGGGTCAGTGTCGTCAACAGCAGAGTTAGTACATGGGGTCCCCCAGGGCTTAGTTCTAGTTCCAACACTATTTTCAATTTACATGCTCCCTCTTGGTAACATCACCGGAAATATAATGTCAACTTTCACTCTTATGCCGATGACACACAACTTTACCTCCCGATTACAGCTGGTGACCATTCAAATACAACTACTGTCCTCAAGTGCCTTTCAGAAATAGAATCAGGGATGTCGGACAACTTTCTACAACTCAATGACGCAAAAATCAGAAGTCATAGAAATCGGTCCCCCATCAAAAATAAATCAAATTACTGCACACCTAGGATAACAAGCCCATTATGTGAAGTCCTCAGCCAGAGACCTTGGGGTAGTTTTTCACCAGGACTTGTGTTATGAGCCGCAAGTGAAGAAAGTTCACATAAAGGGTAAGTTTTGATTTATTTATGTTCAGTTTTATGTCTTATTCCTGCTCTCGCTACATATTTTTATATTTGTGATGATTTTGTGCTTTTGAACATAATGTGTCCCTCATTCGGTTCAGTTGTAAAATACTTTAATATATCTTTGTTTCAACATTCAGTCATCTTTTTATTTTCTTTTTTTATAACCTTCGCTCTCCGAGGTGCTGAAATGATCCCTGCTGCAGCATGTTGTGTCATTTGTTTAAAAACAGAATAAAAAGAGGGATAATCTTCCTTCAACTCGGTGTGAATGATTTCACTCCAAGATGTTGGATGTTTTCTTCACCTCCTGGTCAATGTGGAGCTCAGTCAGTCTAACAGGAGTCACACTGTCCCTGATTCATGCTGCTGCTCAGAGGGGGGCGCTAATGATTCATGAGATTTTGTTTTTGAAATACATGACCGAAGAAGAAGAAAGCAGCTCTCTGACTTCTATAAGGTTCTCAGAGAGTAGATTTAGGAAAACGTGAATCCGAGCTCAGCATCATTCAGCTCTCAATAACTGAACTGCTAACATGTCTGGAAGAGGAAAGGGAGGTAAAGGACTCGGTAAAGGAGGCGCTAAGCGTCACCGTAAAGTTCTCCGTGATAACATCCAGGGAATCACCAAGCCCGCTATCCGCCGTCTGGCTCGTCGTGGTGGAGTCAAACGTATCTCTGGTCTCATCTACGAGGAGACCCGTGGTGTGTTGAAGGTCTTCCTGGAGAACGTTATCCGTGATGCCGTCACCTACACCGAGCATGCCAAGAGAAAGACCGTCACCGCCATGGATGTGGTTTACGCTCTGAAGAGACAGGGACGCACTCTGTACGGCTTCGGAGGTTAAACCTGATCCTGACCCACTTATACTAAAACCCAAAGGCTCTTTTAAGAGCCACACACTTCCACCAAAGAGATAACTCTACTTAACTTGAATTTGAACATCATGTGCCTCTATAAGTAGCCTTCTGATTTTACGTCGTTACGTATACTAATGATACAACTAAATCCCAGCATCTGATAGTGGAAAAATAAAATTAACTATCTACCTTATTGCAAAACTTGATATCTGAGGTAACCAATTAGTTCAGAAACTAAAAACTTTTTTATCAATAATCTCTTATCCTTTCAATGTTTGAGTTCTCATCAATGAACCTGAATAATGATTTTTTTTTTTTCAATCACGCTTTATTTAAATGCAGGTATTAGAATGATCACGACTGGTGATGTTGAATTTCACAATACTGATGCAAAATGTTTTTAGTGAGGTTTCACGACTCGCTGTAACGTAGTGTGAATGGTGAGATATAGTGAGTCGTACAGCGTAGATATGTTAACTTAATATGATTAATTATGGGGTATAATAACACAATCAAGAATCCAGCTCATAGATGAGAAGTTGGGTGGTCCTTAATAGGACCGTTTTGTTGCTGAGTATCAGCGGATTTACTTGGAGCTGGTGTACTTGGTCACAGCCTTGGTGCCCTCAGACACGGCGTGTTTAGCCAGCTCACCGGGCAGCAGCAGGCGGACAGCGGTCTGGATCTCCCTGGAGGTGATGGTGGAGCGCTTGTTGTATTGAGCCAGACGGGAGGACTCCCCGGCGATGCGCTCAAAGATGTCGCTCACGAACGAGTTCATGATGCCCATAGCCTTGGAGGAGATACCGGTGTCGGGGTGGACCTGCTTCAGGACTTTGTAGACGTAGATGGCGTAGCTCTCCTTCCTGGACTTTCTCCTCTTCTTTCCGGTCTTGGTGGCTTTAGAGACGGCTTTCTTTGAGCCCTTCTTGGGCGCTTTCACGGTTTCAGGCATGTTTTCTGAGTGGTGATCTCAAAAACTGATACTGAAGTGAGTGTCAGAAAGCAGTATATATTAGGTGTTGAAGCAAATACCCATGTGCTGTTTCTCACACAGGATTGGCTGACCGCCACACTGAGCAATTCTTAGCTTTCAGTCATGTGACCGGCGCTGAGGTCTGAGGTCCTTTAGGGTTTAGCAAAATAGCGACCACCGTTGATCACTCCGAGGAGCTGCAGCACGAGCTGTTTAATAAACAAAACACAAATTAGACAGCATCAATGTCAAAATAACATTCAGTGATGATGAATACTGTTAAGCGTACCTGAAAATTATTTAATTTGGATTCATGGATTTTAAATTGACCACGTAGTCTAAAGAGGTTAATTGTCTGTTCACATTTTTAGTTTTTATTTAGAATAAAATAAAATTTTAAGGAAACCAAATTAATTGAACATGATTGTCAGTAAAATCGTCCAGATTCTCCAGAACAGCCTGGTTACTGAGTATTCATAATAAGAAGTGTTTTATTTTGTCTCCTTCAGTTAGAAGCTGTTGATGACATGTAGATAGTTTCTGTAGTTTGGATTCATCGTGATATCTGGACCATCATCACTTATTCACTGCAGGATAATTCACCGTGGATCATCTATCCTTTATATCTTCATATTTAATCACATTTCATCTGATTATAACTGTGTTTATGTATATTTAGTAATTAACTGATGATGTCTTTCTCACTGGTGTGTAAATGTACTAAACATCACCAATGATTTCCATTAGTTTTTCTCTCATTAGTATAATTTAAGTCAGAATTGCAGTTTTTTACAATTGCTATGACCATTTTTTCTTTTAACAAGTTTCATGAACTCTTAACACACCTAAAACACACATTGATTCTGTTTTGCTCTGGAGTTTCCGTCTTGAAGCCTCTATACATTTCTGTTTTGTTGGGTTTAGTAAATGCATGTATTTTGTTTATTTTGCTGCAGGAATTCAATACAAAAAAGGAATGACCCATATCAGAGTAGTTTTATAGAAGTTTGGTTTATGAGAAAAAGAAGACAGAGACATAATTGTTGTACTAAAGGCTTTATTTCATTGTCAGCAGTCACCATGTTGACAATGACAAGTTCCTGTTCTTCATTTAGGGGCTTTTCCTCTGCCCCCCTGTTCAGGATGTCTGACTGTCATCAGAACAATCCAGTCAGAATACCTCCGACATGTATTGGAACAATCACATTCACCTCCACTTAAGTCGTCCCTAGACTTTAAATTAATATTCATTCTTTATCTAACGGGGACACAATGAATATGTCATTGTTCAATTTTATGAAGCATTAGCGCCCCCCTCTGACCAGCAGCTGCAGTGTGACTCCTGTTAGACTGACTGAGCTCCACATGGACCAGGAGGTGAAGAAAACATTCATCATCTTGGAGTGAAAGCATTCACATTCATTATTCTGTTTCTAAGCAAATGACACAACATGCTGCAGCAGAGATCATTTCAGCACCTTGGACAGCGTGTTTCCCCAGTCATCAATCACTTTTTTTAACTAGATTTGTTTTTTTACAAATTGTTGTGGTGTGTGTGCGTGTGTGTGGAGGGGGGTCATATTTTTTGTGCTGCATCATTTATGTATAAAAAGTGTTTTATATATATATATATATATATACGAATACATTTGATAAATATACTTTTCATATATGAGACTCCATATAAACACACTCACTAGCATTTGAACATTTGTGTAACCCAATATATATTCAGATATCTTGAAATATCTTGATCTCATACTTGTTATAGCTAATAAAAATAATAAGCTTTATTTATATAGCACAAAACAGGGTTACAGAGTGCTTTAAAATATATATATAGAGAGAGAGAGAGAGAAATGTGAGGAGTACAATACAGGAGTTCCACAGATTATACAAATTAAAATTAAAATTAATTAAAATTAGCAAGAAATCACAGAAGAGGAAAAGTCAATATAAAAACATCGAAAAGATAAAAAGGAATGAAAGAAGCAGATTGAAACCATAAAAGATAAAGGGGATAAGAGATTTAAGATACTGCCCTGGATTCTACCATAATTAGTAATAAAAGCATTAATTAAGGAATAAACAAAAAAGAAAAACACACTCAAACAACAAATCCCCTAAAAGCACATTTGTAAAAATGTTTTTGAAAGAGATTTAAAAGTGGACTGAGAGCTTGCCAGTCCAATGTTGTCTACAATGTGTCAAATTGATTTTACTGCAGTCAATGACAATTCATGTAGGCTATATTTCAATATAAGTCAGGACTCTCTGCATCAAGTCATTAGCTGAATACAACTTGTTACAATTCTTGTGTTGAATTTCAGACTACTATCAGCATGTGCATTGAATTAGAAAACAATTTTTCACTGACACATTTGACTTGAGCAAATTATTGATTTAGCCTTAATGATTGTATGATAAATTAGTTTCAATCAAGCCTCATTTGAATGTAGATATTAGAAGAAGCATAATCAAGGCTGGGGCTGTTGAACTTGAAGGTGATGACTACTAAATATGTTCTTGGTCTAACATCAATAAATCAGTGTGAATAATAAGGTATAGTGAGTCATCCATCCATCAATCAATCAATTTTTATTTGTATAGCGTCAACTCATAACACGTGTTGAGCTTATAGGCTACTTGTGAGAATCTATTATTTCCCCTATCTTCATTTCTGCTTATAAATTCCATTAACCTGCACATTATCTGGTTCTGTTCCTGTCTCTGCTGTTCCATGAGGTACCTCCGAACCTGTAAGGTATTGTGAGATGTTTTAAATGTTAGCGTCTTATGTGTTATAATCATTTGTAAGCATTGTATGTGTTGCTCTAATGTCTTGACAACTCTCAGCTCCTTCCCAATAAGTTGTTTGATTGATCCTGAGTTGAGAGTGTGTCCTGTTAATTTATAGCAGTTTTTTTAGCTGAAAGATTAAAAACGAGGGAGCCTTCAGGTTAATATATTATATCATTTATATATAGACTATATTGATGTGGATTTCCTTGTTGTTGACATGTTTGATGATGAAGAAATTCTCCGTTGACACTGACTTGCTTACATAATGATCATTTTATTGACAAACAAGTTACAGCATCGCCAGGCTCGCCATGGTTCGACCTGGGAGAGACACAGCCAAAAGTGATCTCTCCCCTTACACACAGAAACTCTGGTATTTATGGACACACCTCACAGGAGAACAACATAGGGACATCTGTTTGTTTTCAGGACACCCCTCTTCATACAACTGCAGGGGTTTCTGTCTTAGTCATATGTATGTCATATGTATGTCATAAACTCAAAGGACAACACAGGTCACAGATACAATCTCTTGTCCAGAAGTCCCTGGGCAACTCTCTGGATACAGGGGCCCCATTGTACACATTCCACTGAGAGGGCTCCTAAATCTCCTTCAGATACTCCTGATGCGCCCATTGTAAATTTATATTATCTCTGTCCTGGTTACATCAGACACTTCAATATCTGAGTGACAAATCCTGGAAAAGGAAATAGAATGGAAAATAAGTACAATGTGTATTAATAACAACGTCGTAATATGTGCTCTATATGTGCATCATAGGAATCTGGTTGAAGCACTGCGTATCATTTTAGTAGGATATTATTTAGTCCATAAAATGCGACTAATAATGAGACAATATTGACTAAATTAGACAGTACAGGAATATGTCTTGAGTAAAAAGTGGTGGCTCTTAAAAGAGCCGTTGTGGTTGTTTTGGAGCAATAGACAGATTAAGCTCTCTCTCCGCGGATCCTTCTGGCCAGCTGGATGTCTTTGGGCATGATGGTGACCCTCTTGGCGTGGATGGCGCAGAGGTTGGTGTCCTCGAAGAGACCGACCAGGTAAGCCTCGCTGGCCTCCTGCAGAGCCATGACAGCAGAGCTCTGGAAGCGCAGGTCGGTCTTGAAGTCCTGAGCGATCTCACGGACCAGACGCTGGAAGGGCAGCTTGCGGATGAGCAGCTCGGTGGATTTCTGGTAACGACGGATCTCTCTGAGAGCCACGGTACCGGGCCTGTAACGATGGGGCTTCTTCACGCCGCCGGTGGCCGGGGCGCTCTTACGGGCAGCCTTGGTGGCCAGCTGCTTCCTGGGGGCTTTGCCTCCTGTGGACTTACGAGCGGTCTGCTTGGTTCTCGCCATCGTGTATTGTCTCTCTGAGCGGGAGAAAAATGTAGGGAGCTACGGGACGAGCTGCTCTTAAAGCAGAGGAGCGGATGTGTAACGGTGACGCTGCTTCGGACCTCCGGCCTCTGATTGGTGGCCGGTTGCTTCTGGAGCTCAGCCCCCGACGGGGGGGAGCGAGCCCCCGCTTACATCTCCGCTGCTCATTGGAGAAAAGGTTGTTCAAACTGTGGAGCGCAGCTGGGAGCCTGGGGGCCCCTTTACTGGTTGGAGGAGCAGGAAAACGCGCGCGCTCCGCGGACATATAATAGAGGGCATGTCCGCCTAGAGCACATTTCTCTCAGTCCCAAATCTAGAGATTAACCTACACCATGTCAGGAAGAGGCAAAACCGGCGGAAAAGCCAGAGCAAAGGCAAAGACTCGCTCCTCCCGTGCCGGGCTCCAGTTCCCAGTCGGTCGTGTCCACAGGCTGCTGCGTAAAGGAAACTATGCCCAGCGTGTTGGTGCCGGAGCCCCCGTCTACCTGGCGGCTGTGCTCGAGTACCTGACCGCTGAGATCCTGGAGTTGGCCGGTAACGCTGCCCGTGACAACAAGAAGACCCGTATCATCCCCCGTCACCTGCAGCTGGCTGTCCGCAACGACGAGGAGCTCAACAAGCTGCTCGGAGGAGTCACCATCGCTCAGGGAGGAGTGCTGCCCAACATCCAGGCTGTTCTCCTGCCCAAGAAGACCGAGAAGGCTGCCAAGAAGTAAAAGACACAGTCCTGACCTCAACAAACACAAAGGCTCTTTTAAGAGCCACCACATCACAACTAAACAGCAAATTCTTATTATATGTGAAGTAGGTTATATACTGTCCAAAATACTTGTGAGTTGAGACACACCTTGTTATAAACACAATCTAACTTTAGAAAGCGCTCCACCGCCACATCTATAGTAATTAAGCCAGTTTAATATTTGTACTTTATACCTATACCTCCAGAAACAGTCATTCACATAAATGAGTTGTGGATTAGACGAGTATCGTGTTATTCTTAACTGTTGTGTTATAAATAGGCCAACATCTTACACATTAAGGATGCATGTCTTAAATGTGAATATCAAGTCCTGATTTGTTCAATGACAGACTCCTTAATAAAAGTTGTGGTGGCTCTTAATAGAGACCCTGACAGTTATGCATGTCATAATTTAACTGTACGATTATTTTCTCTAGTTCTACAATTTTCTTTATACATGCACGCCTCCTCACAAAGCTTGCATGCTCTGGACACTGTGTATCACAGAGGTCTGAGGTTCATCACTAATTGTAAATTCACTCATCACGGTTTGTTGTATGAACGTGTTGGATGGATTTCTCTGACCCTACGGCATACTTTAATCTACAAGTCTATTTTAGGTCTGCTTTCTTCGTACCTTCTGTCCTTCATCAGTCAGAAGAGTACAGGGACTTAGAATCTTCGATCTCAGGACCTTATCTTACTGTCTGTTCCAAAAGTCAGAACTGAACTGGGGGGAAAAGGCCTTTAAGTTTGCTGCTCCATTTACTTGGAACGAATTACAAAAAGAGCTGAAACTTAATGAACTTCCCTCGTTGGTTACCTGAGGAAGTTAAATGACCTGGACGCTGGTACATCTAGCTGGAGATGTTCTTCCTGATGTATTTTTGGCAAACATTTGCTGTTCTGATTTTGTTATTTGTGCCTTTTAATGTCTGATGTATATATGAAAGATTGGCTGCTCGTTGTCCATGTGAAACTCTGTTAATGTTTTGCTGCCTGTCTTGAAAAAGAGATTTTTAATCTCAACGAGTCCCTTTCCTGGTTAAATAAAAATAAAACAATAAAATCATCACATCTTGTCCTGGATATAAAATTAATCCAAAGACGGTACTTCTCTTAAGTAAATCTGCCTGTGTCCTTAATTGTTATTTTTCTTCGCTTGTCTAGATTCTGGTTTCCTTTCTGGTTGTGAAGATGTAGCCTAGACTGAAATAAGGATTATTTATATTCTGATTCACTACCTTGGACTTCCTATTCATTTTAGTTGTACACATGGATGTGACTTTAACACAATCGACATTGAGAGGTGATTATAAATATAAACAATATGATTATAAATAGTATAATTGAGGACAGACTCTTTAGTGGAAGCTGTGGGGGCTCTTAAAAGAGCCTTTGATGCATTGAATGCTGGTGTGAAGATTTACTTCTTGGCCTTCTTGGCTGCAGTCTTCTTTGCTGCTGTTTTCTTTGTTGGAGTTTTCTTCACTGGAGTCTTCTTGACCACTTTCTTGGGAGCAGCCTTCTTGGGACTCTTAGCAGCAGGCTTTTTGGTTACCTTCTTCACCGGGGTTTTCTTAGCTGTTACCTTCTTCGGTGACTTCTTGACTGCTACTTTCTTGACTGGAGTCTTCTTGGGTGTAGCTTTCTTTGCTGCGGGCTTCTTTGCCTTGGCTGGAGCTTTCTTTGCGACCTTCTTCGCTGCTGGTTTGGCAGCTTTGGGCTCTTTCTTTGCGAGCTTGAAAGATCCGGAGGCACCACTGCCTTTAGTCTGTGCCAAAGTTCCGTTTGTTACCAGCTTAACCACGGCGGCGTTGATGCGTTTGTTAGCCTTAACCACATCCACACCTTTAGCGGCCAGTACCTTCTTGACGGCCGATAAGGACACACCTTTGCGCTCTTTGGACTCAGCCACAGCGCTGATGATGAGCGTCGGGAAGGGGGGTCCATCAGACTTCGGCTTGGGAGCCGCTTTCTTCTTCGGGGTTTTCACCACCGGGGCTGCTACTGCTGGTGCTTCTTCTGCCATGTTGATCTCTCACTGGACGTGTGGAGAAGACCGACAGGAGGCGGGACTTATAGGGAACATGAGAACCGTGAAGAGTCAACCCACACAGACGCTCTTCCTCCTGTCTGAAATGTGGCGACACTTTGTGTTTTATCTTCAACTTTATGGGGATAAAACTCACACAGAGAATCTTTTTAAACGGAAAAAACGTCCCGCATCAGTTAGAAAACCTTCATCTCTTCAGATTCAGCTCATGTTTGTGGACGAGGTCTCTTTAATTTCATTACAGCAGGCTTCAAACCTCTATGATACCCGCTCTGTTTGGACAACACGCCGGGATTTTCCGACACATTTCAGCTCCTAAAGTGTCTTAATGAGACCTGTGAAAGTTTTAAAAGGATGATAGTGTAAGCAGAGACATCAGTTATTTAAATAAAACAAACATTAACCTTATACTTTGATGTGTTTAGTTTTAATCGGAGAGTTTTCTGTGGAGGTAAACACACGGAGGCTGTCGGAGACTCAGGAGGTCACACAGACTCACAGATGATGTTGTGGGTTTGATCTCCAGGTCAGACCAAATGATAGAATTCATCAAGAGGACACAAAGTTAAAGGTTTATAATAGTACGATGTAATAATCTAACAACATAATGAATCATTCCTGTGCTGATAGAGACTGAATACATCACATCAGTTTGAGTTTGTATGGAGAACAGTTTTCTGTCTATAGGTTTAACAATCATCACTGTCAACTGAGTAATAACATCACATTAAATTAATTAACATTAAATGAATCTCTAATTCTCCTCAGCTGATCTCCTCGTTGGTCATGTTGGACTCAGAGTTATTCCTCCTCCTCTGTGATATATTTGAGGTAAAAATGGATCAATAAGGATTCTACAGATAGACTGTGAGTCATGATTATCTTTGAAGGTTCATTCATATGAAACTCATGAAACTTTTTCAATGTGAAATATGAAACAAATTTGAAACAGATATTTCAGATATTTTCTAAATTAATGGTGAGGTTTTATTTTAAAAATTTAAAAAATAAACTGCTCTGCTGAAAGGCATTTGTTGTTGACAAACAATATCTTTATACTGAAGTGTTGATGGTTGGTTTTATATTCACTATTTAAATTTATAAAAACATGTTGATTACTATTTTGTGCTATGTTCACTTTTTGGACTCTTTTGCTCAAATCCAAGATTTATCCATCCTGGATAACTCCTCTCACCTTCTCCATGACGAGCTGCTCTTTCAGCCAACACCTCATCTCCTCCAGGTGCAAAACAGAGCGCTTCAGGTACTCCTCTGTGCCCACTGCCATAAGACTGTACAACAGCAGTCTATGACAACAATACCAGTTCAACCCCATAAACACTACCACATGACAGGCTTCATTATTATCATTGTATTATTGTATTATTATTTAGCATCGATAGACACTGTAGATTCTTATTATATTATATTAGTCTATATGATATATTATATTACATGTTATTATATTGCACTATATTATATTGTACTCTATAACTGCACTCTGCCTTACAGTGATACAACACTGCTTCTCTTCACTGCTGTTTACATAACTTGCTGCTATCGATCAACCCAAGTCACTTAAATCATAACTTGTAACTTTATCTTGCTATTCACTGCACACAGGGCCGGCCCTGGACATCCGGGGGCCCTAAGCAGGATCATTTTGTGGCCCTGCCTTGCGGTGAATAGTGGAGTATTGCCATCGCGAACCAGTAACTATCTACAATTACAAACCTTACGCATTGTATCTGTACCTCTTTGAACATGATGGGACACAAATATTTTGCTGCTTATTAAGTACACTCACTCAAACAGTCAAAGTAAAGCTTACAGACTTGCCACATTTCAACTTCTACTTTGTTACTGTTTGAATGCTTTATAAAGTGTACCTTTTGTACTGATTTTCCCTTCTCCACCGCTTAAAAAGACGGGGAAGCTGCACCAGAAATTTCTACTTTGCTGATTAAGCAATGAAAACTTGCTCTCTTGATATAGCAGACAGATTAAAGATTCTAGTTTGAGTTTATATTTATTCTTTTAGAACACAGCAAAATAATAAAATCATCTAATAAAATATATATTTTAAACAACAAATAAAAAATTAAATTAATAAGCAAATATATATATATATGTAAAAACAGAGAAAAGGGGAATTAGAAAACATTCATCCAAAGCCATAAAAAGCAAACTTTGATTTTCACCTCATCCATTTTTTTATTACCCTGTTCCTGTTAATGACCATGTCAGAATGTTTGTCTTCTTGCTTTTTTGGATGCAAAGTCCTCTATAATATCATCATATCTTGTTTCTGGTGTCAGCCTCCTTAGATGATTGTACACAGCCACGCTCCCCCTGAGAAAACAACATTTTGTTTTTACAAATAGTGTGAGCAGAAAATAATGTTAGGAGTAAGTTAAAGTAAATACAAGATTAAATGACTTAATTTACTTATTGATTTGTTTAACCCTTACATACTGTTCATAAAGTAACCCTTCACAGCATGGAGAAGATCATTTTTCATTGTTTATAATTACACTTCTTACCATTTTGCATTCATAGATATCTTATTGATGCTCTAAGGAGATGAGGACAGGGAGCTCCAACAGCCTCTTTCTTGTACTTGCATTCCTTTATGAAGGAAGGTTGTTACTACTTTTATTCTATTTCTAAGTAAATTACACTACATGCTCCAGTTCAGCACCTCGGACAGCGACAGTGGAATATATTATTTTCATCCACACAAAAACAACACACAGATCTTTACCTGCCTTTTGTGAAGTGTCTGGAGATCACTTTTATTTGTAATTGGCACAATACAACTAAAGATTGATTGATCTTATATACTTGTGAGAATCTACTATTTCCCCTGTCTTCATTTCTGCTTATGAATTCCATTAACCTGCACACAATCTGGTTCTGTTCCTGTCTCTGCTGTTCCATGAGGTACCTCCAAAATTGTAGTGAGACGTTTTAAATGTTAGCTTCTTATGTTTGAAATGTATCACAAATGTGTTATAATCATTTGTAATTATTGTATGTGTTGCTCTAATGTCTTGACAACTCTTAGCTCCTTCCCAACAAGTTGTTTGATTGATCCTGAGTTGAGAGTGTGTGCTTGTAATTTACAGCAGTTTGTTTAGCTGAAAGATTAAAAACGAGGGAGCCTTCAGGTTAATATATTATATCATTTATATATAGACTATATCTGAGTGACAAATCCTGGAAAAGGATATATAATGGAAAATAACTACATGTGTATTAATAACAACGTCGTAATATGTGCTCTATACAATATGCTATATGTGCATCATAGGAATCTGGTTGCAGCACTGCGTATCCTTTTAGTAGGATATTATTTAGTCTAAAAAAATGGGACTAACAATAAAATAATATTGACTAAATTAGACAGTACAGGAATATGTCTTGAGTAAAAAGTGGTGGCTCTTAAAAGAGCCGTTGTGGTTGTTTTGGAGCAGTAGACAGATTAAGCTCTCTCTCCTCGGATCCTTCTGGCCAGCTGGATGTCTTTGGGCATGATGGTGACCCTCTTGGCGTGGATGGCGCAGAGGTTGGTGTCCTCGAAGAGACCGACCAGGTAAGCCTCGCTGGCCTCCTGCAGAGCCATGACAGCGGAGCTCTGGAAGCGCAGGTCGGTCTTGAAGTCCTGAGCGATCTCACGGACCAGACGCTGGAAGGGCAGCTTGCGGATGAGCAGCTCGGTGGATTTCTGGTAACGACGGATCTCTCTGAGAGCCACGGTACCGGGCCTGTAACGATGGGGCTTCTTCACGCCCGCCGGTGGCCGGGGCGCTCTTACGGGCAGCCTTGGTGGCCAGCTGCTTCCTGGGGGCTTTGCCTCCTGTGGACTTACGAGCTGTCTGCTTGGTTCTCGCCATCGTGTATTGTCTCTCTGAGCGGGAGAAAAATGTAGGGAGCTACGGGACGAGCTGCTCTTAAAGCAGAGGAGCGGATGTGTAACGGTGACGCTGCTTCGGACCT